TATAAATAAATATGAATAAGAAATAATAATAAATGAATAACATAAAATAATTAATAATTTAAAATTAAAAATGAATATAAATATAAAATCAAAGATAATAAAATAAATAAAAAGTAAAAATGAATAAATAAATTTATTATATAATTAATTATAAAACAACAATCAATAACAAACTAATACATAAATAACAATAAATTATTAACAAATAAATTATATTTGAAATAATGAATGATGTTTGATTTAAATTAAGAATAAAAAACATAAAAATATACCAAATGTAATGTTAATGAAAATGAAAATAAAGAAGAAAAAAGATGAATTAAATGAAATTTATAATAAAATAATAATATTTCATTACAATAATTTAATGATAATAAATAATAAATAAAGGAAATAAAAGATAGATGAGTATTTAAACACAAACTAAGAAAGATATATTCATTAAAATGCTCAATTTGTTTCTTCTATTTATTACTTTTTCATTATCAAAACAATGTAATGAATACAATCAAGGATATGAAATAGATACAGTAGATAGTGCATTTGAATGTATTGAATCAATTGAAACAACAGAAGAAGAAAATAATGATATTATCACAGGATTAAAATATTATTTAGAAGCATATGTATTTAAAGATATATTAAAGAATCCACCACAACCATCATTTTCAAATAATTATTATGAAAAAGTGGATATTGATGAACAACTAAATAAAATAAATACAAAAACAACAAGTATGTATGATTTCTATTCTCAAATTAAAAATCTTATTATTTCAACAAGAGATTCTCATTTGGCTTTTAATGTAGATAAAGATCTGAATAAACCAAATTCAGAATTAGTTTATTTCTATTATTTCCTTCCATTTAAAATATATATTGATAATAATAAGAAAATGTATTTAATTCCTAGAAATGAAGTTCTTGATATTCCTATTGATGTTCCAGAAGAAATAGTTAATAATGAAAAAGTAGCAGTTAAAACAATAAATGGAGAAGATCCATTTAATATTATTCGTGAATTTGGAAAGAAATATATGGGATTAAAATGTCCACATGCACAATTTACATTAGCAAAAGATTATTTAGTTAAAGGATATTTAGGTTTTACTCCATTATCAAAAGAATATTTAAACACACCAATAAGTATTACATGGGAAAATGGAGAAAGTCTAACAATTAATTATAAGATAATTAAATTTAACAGATCAAATCAGAAATTCCAACAAGCACTTGAAAGAAGTAAGAGAAGAGGAATAAGAGATCGATTAAAAATAGAAGATTTCGAAGAAACAAATAAAACAAGAACAAAAGAAAATGAAAATAATGAATATCAACCAAATTGTTCACCTGAAAATAAAATATGTTGTTTAACAACAAGCAATAAAGTAAACACATTCATTGTAAATACTTTTGATGTTAAAAATGAAAATGAACAAACTGAATTTACAGCTAAATTGTTCGAATGTGTTAATTCATTTGATTCTAATAATTATCCAATTCAAGTAATATTTCCAAAGAATAATGGAGGTTTAGTAGTACCACTTGCACAGTTAGTTGAGAAAATTATATCACCATATGATGACGTAGACTTTATTGGTTCAGTAAGAATATCAGATTTCACAGAAGACATAATGAAAGTAGACTATAGCACAATTATGTACAACCCAGAAACATGTGAAGTAAGAGAGAAGGAGAATAACCCCAAAATACTTGGAGAATGGTATACAAAACCAAATATTATTAAATATGGTGGTGTTGAACATAAAGTTTCACAGCCATCAACTTTGAACTTACCACCACTTATGAAATTTATCATAAATGATCTTTACTCTAGTTACAATCCAAGAAAACCAACAGAAGTAGTAGTTTATACAGATTCATTTTGTTATTCTGCTTGTTCATGGGTAACAAAAGGATTAAAAGAATGGGGAGGAGCTATTATTGTTGGATTTGATGGTGATCCTAATGGTAAAGATGATGAATTTGAAGTAGGGTTATCACCATCATCTAACATCCAAACAGTATCAAAGTATGACGATAAAAATCCATTTACACAATATGGATATAAATTTGGATTAACAGTTATAGAAACATATAGATATAATTATGAATATAATGAAAGTATTCCTAGAGAATTTTTAACTGATATGATAGATGAAAGAGTGAATATATATCAATTTGATCAAACAGAAAAAGTGATTAAAGAGTTTGAAGAAGAAACAAAGAAGATAATAGAGAAATATCAAACAAAATGTAATCCAAAGAATAAAAGATTAGTTAAAAGAGATGAAAAATGTGATAAAGAAATTAATATAGAACATGGACATGGAGGATATGAATGTGGAGATAATGGAGAATGGAGTACAAAATGTGTACTAGCTTATTGTGATGATGGATATAAATTTGATTATATCAACAATAAATGTATTGAAGATGTTTGTGTTAATCCACCAACAGAATCAGAATCAGATAATGGAACACCAAACATGACAGTAAACCTAGTCATGATAATAATTGGAATAATCACATTAATTCTCTAATTGAAGAAGGTTTAATTTAAAATATAATTTTGGTTTAATAAATATGAAATAAAAAAAGATAAATATAACAATCTCTTATTTTATTTGTTATATTCATTTTAATTAAAATAAAAATGAATATGTTATAATATTTAATTGATGTCATTATAAATATAATAAGTATTAATTATTTGTTAATTATATATCCAAATTATACATTAATATAATGTATAAAAATAGTTATAATTATTCATGTTTTCATTTTCATTTATTTGAAATTATTGAAATAAAACCATAAAATCATTAAAATAAAATCAAATTATCATTTTGATTATTATTCTTCATATTCTTCATTATAATTTATTACTTTTTCTATTTCATATATTTTATGTTTAACTTTACATTCAGAACTTGTTCTTGGATTAACAATATATTTGTTATCTTCTGTAACAATAATTCATAAATATTCATTAATATCAATCTCATCAAATTGCCATTCTTTTTCAATATTATTTTAAGTTTAAGTAAATTAATAAAATTATTTGATATTTCTTGAACTTTTTCAAATCCAATCATTTGTTTTTTATACAATTCAATTTTATTTGTTATGATTTGTGCATCAACAATATTATTAAATGATGAATGGAGTTTATCTAATTATTCTTGAGTAATGTTTATAGTTTTTATTACTCTTCTAAGTGGTGTATTATTATTATATAAAGATATTTTAGATGAATTATTTTGTTTATTTGTATTATTTGTTGGATGATTACCAATACCTCCTTGTTGTGAGTTGTTTTTTATTTTATTTTGTGTTAACATATAATCTAATATATCTTTTATTTTAAATTATTGTATTAATGAATAAATATCAAAATTTGAAACAGCAACATCTGATACATCATCCACTTTCTGTATTATAACTTTACCAACTTCAATTACTGCATCTCCCCATAACTTTTTTCGTTTATTTTTTAATTCACTTATTTCTATTTTCATTTTATCTAATAAATCTTGATTGTTATCATGTTTTAAACTCTCTGCTATTTCTTTAATCCTTTCTTTTGTGAATTCAATCTATGAATATTTATTTATAAGAATTTGTGCTTCTGTATTTAATCTTTTTATAATCTTTTTAAAAAATTCACTAACATTTGAACTTTCAATAAATAATGAAGTATATTTTATGTTAAGTTAATGTAATTCCAAGAATAGTTTCTGTGTTTGTTAAATACGAGTGTTTGTATTTAATTACAAATTGATTAAGCATTTTCCTATGAATTATCATTAATTTAAGTTCTTCAAATGATTTATCACTTAAAAGTTCTTCTTGTCTTGTAAGATAATAATTCACTCTATTAATAACAAAACAAAATTATAATCTTTTCCATTCATTTAATGTTGGTTGAATCTCTCACTCAGCTTCATACAATATATCAATTAATGTTTTGAATTTATAATATAAACTTTTATATGAAGACATTAATTCATAAAGTTTTAATTCTATGATTTGATACAAACTAGTATAACAATCTGTAATATAACCACTATTCCCATTAAAATCTTTTCAATATAAATACCACATATTTTACCTGTTTTTATTTCATTTCCATATTTTTCAATTAATTCTTTTGTTTTATATACATGATATGTCAACTGATGTATTCTGTTATCATCTTCTGATGATTTTGAAGATAATTTTGTTGCTAAAATATTACACCAACAACTACATCCACGATACACTTCATAAAATGGAATTAAACAAATAGCAAAAGTTCTTAAAATTCCATGTGGTTCTTCCTTTTCTGCAATTTGTTTTAAATTACTTTTAAGGATATCATGAATAATAAACCAATGTTCTGATAGTTCATTTTCTAATCATTGATTTAAAATATTATGTATTTCACTGAAATGATTATTGAAAAAAACAAGGTATTCTTTCCTATCTTGTTGAAAGTGTACATCAGGTTCAACAACTATCTCGTTTTGTTCTTCTTGATGGTTTGAAATTTTATATCTATTTTATGAAATTGAAATATATTTTGTGGATAATGTTCTTTAAGATATGCCATTTCTGCTCTTCTTTTCGTTCTTTCATAATTATAATGTAATGTAATCATTTAATTCTGAAATAATGAGATTATCAAATTCATTTTATTTCATGTTTTTAATGAATATTGTAGTTAATTTTAGAATATGTTAAGTTACATAACGTATTATTATTTTAAAATAAACTGAAATGTATATTTTATTTATTTATATTACCCACTATCATGTTATGTGATATATTTATTTATAAATCAATACAACAGAATTAAAAATTG